CCCCCCCCCCCCCCCCCCCCCGCCCCTGTTTGAGCACAAGTGAATATATACAGAAAACCTAATACAAGAAAAGGCATACAGATGCTGAGCTGGATAGTTTGTTACGGATGAGCTAGAAATCCTAACTAATTTTGTTTCATTTCTTGTGTTACTTTTGTATATAAACACCTGCATCTTGTAATTGCTGGATATGAATGAAGAAACACAAGTCTTCTTCTTCCTCTTTTCATTTCTCTTGTTATTCTCTCGGATTGATCCCTAGAATATTAATCGATTCTTTGAAGTCTGTTCTTCCTAAAATCTGTGCTCTTTGTGCATCAATTGGTATTAAAGCTGATTGGTTCTTGGATCTTGTAAGATGATGAGAACTTGGAATTCTGAAGCGGCTAATGATGATGTAAAAGATAAATTTGCCGCGATCCAAAATCAGTTGCAGAAATTAATGGAAGGAATGACCATTATCAATGATAGTAGCTCCAAAACTGATCACGAGCTGGGCAAATTGAAGGAAATCCTGAAGACTATGGAACCGAAGGATAAGGACGAGGAGGAGTCATCTCAAATGAATAGGCGGTCTGAAGGTTCTTACCATGCCACATCCTCTGGTAATGCTCTTACTCGCTTTTCCAGACTTGATTTCCCCAAAATTTCCAGTTTCGATCTTAGAACCTGGTTGTATAAAGTGGAGCAAATTTTTGCAACGGATGAAATTCCTTCTGAACAGAAGGTCAAAATTGCATCCATCCATTTGGAAGGTGAAGCCATTGCTTGGCACAGGTCATACATAAGGAATGTTAATATGACTTATTAGAGTTGGACGGAATATGTCCTAGCTCTTAGTGAGAGATTTGGTGAGGCCTTTGAAGATCCTATGGAGGAACTTGAGAATCTGACCCAAACGCGTAGTGTTAAGGAATATCAAGCTACTTTTGACAAACTCATCACTGTTGTGGATTTGACAAATGAGAATGCAATTAGCTGCTTTATTGGAGAGCTGAAGACTGAATTGAATAAGGCAGTAAGAATGCATTCCCCAAAGACATTGATGCAAGCTTATAAGATTGCAAAGTTACAGGAGGAAGTATAAGTATTCTGTGCACAAGCTAAATCATGGGGTTTGAAAAATGGTATGAGAAACCAAGGGGGTATTTTGCCCACCCCAGGGCAAGCAAAACCAACAGTGAACCAGAAGTCAGTTCCAAATACATACACAAGGAATCAAACACGAAGTCCACCCGGTAGAAGGCTATCAACAGCAGAAATGGATGAGAAAAGGGCCAAAGGATTATGCTTCTTTTGTGATGAGAAATATGTATTGGGTCACAAATGTGCACCCAAGAAACATATATTTCTGGTTGAAGTGGTATAGAAAGTTTCAGAATTACACGAAACCACGAAATTGAAGGATAGTGAATCCATAGAGTTGGAAGAGTTGATGACCATATCTCTGCAAGTATTAATGGGTGTCACAGGGTATCAAACCATTAGAGTCACAGGGTACCATAAGAAGCAACCCTTGCAGATTCTAATTGATAGTGGGAGTACGCACAATTTTATGGACCAAGAAATGGCCAAGCAACTTAACTGTCGCACAAGTAAAATTTTGGAGCAATCTATTAGTGTAGCTGATGGGAGGAGGGTTCAGACAGCTACTATTTGCAAAGATGTACAATGGTTGTTACAAGGCACTGCCTTTGTATCTGATTTTTTATTGTTACCACTAGGCAATGTTGATATTGTCCTTGGAGTTCAGTGGTTGAATACTCTGGGTAAAATTCTATTTGATTTCAAATATAGGATTATTGAATTCAAGTTTGAAGGGAAGAAGCATGTGTTGAGAGGGGCCAACAGCCAGCTTAAAACAACCAGGGTTAAGTCAATGGAGAAGGATTGCGGTAATAAGGCTCAATTTTTTGATGACTTTGGCAACTGAAGAGAAGGAGGAAACATTTTGCCATCTCATACAAACTGAGTAGGGTATCCGAATTTCCCCTCAAATTGCTCAATTTGTAGAGCAATTTGGAATTATTTTTGAAGTACCTGAAGCACTGCCCCCTCATAGAGGAGCATTTGATCATAAGGTCCCTTTAAAAGATGGTGTCAATCCTATAAGTAAGAGACCTTATAGATATCCAGGAATCAAGAAGGATGTCATTGAGAAGATGATATAAGAAATGTTGGATCAGGGAGTAATTCAGCACAGTACCAGTCCATATGCATCCGTTGTGGTTCTTGTGGGAAAGAAGGATGGTAGTTGGAGGTTATGTGTTGATTACAAGGGATTGAATCAACAGACAATCAAAGATAAACTCTCTATTCCAATCATTGAAGATTTACTGGATGAGTTGGGAGGATCTGTTATGTTCTCCAAAATAGACCTAAGAGCTGGATATCATCAACTGAGGATGCATGAAGTAGATGTATACAAAACTGCCTTTAAGACTCATGAAGGACACTATTAATTTTTTGTTAGTGTTGACCCTTGTGTTTTGATAATGACAACCATGCATATGGGATGAGCTTTGAATCTGGATCTTTTCATGTGGATTGCCTAGCACGCACGTTGCTTAGAGATTCAAGACAAGATTTGAAGATTAAAGGTTTTCTAGATTTTTATTTCTTTTGAGTCTTAGTTCATGTTAAAGTGTTTGGCACATCTTTATTCTTCAAATACTTTGTTTTTCCTACAAGAATGCCTCTTTGATTGTTTTCAAAACCCTTTCTCAAAACCTTTCTTCAAAAATGTTTCTTCTCAGTTTTTTATTCGAATAAATTGAGATTTATTCGAATAAGAGGGACTTCTACAGATTGCAGTTCAGTCTGTTTTAATCGAACAAATGCTTGTTTTATTTGAATAAGGGCTGATTCCAGTTCTTCCAAAGTTTTGAAAATTATTCGAATAAATAGCTATTTATTCGAATAAGTAGGCTCCCAGTTTTGCAGTTCGTTCTGTTTTATTCAAATCCTGTTTTACTCAAACTATTCGAATAAATTGTGTTTTATTCGAATAAATCGGCAATTTTCACTGATTAACGTACACTTTTTGAATCTTTCTGGAGGTTACATTATCCCTATCCTTATTTAATACAACTTGTTTCGTTTTTCAATGAATAAGAACACCTAAGAATACTTTCAATTACATTCCTTTGATTATACAAAGAGATTCATTCAAGTCTTCATTTTCCCACTCAATATTCAAGTTCTTCATTTGAGAAATCTTTCTTCACTTTGAGTTGGAAAGTTTTTGTGTGCCATACACTATACGGTGATTGTAATCTAGAGCAAATCCGCTCTTGTTTGAGGAGTATTATCCGCTGTGCAAATTGTTTGTAAGTTGTATTGTTGTAAAAAGCTTGAATTTGAAATAATTCAAGTTTTGGATTGAAATCCAAAGTCTTGTGAAATCAAGACTTCGGTGGAAAGATTAGAGGCTTGTGAAATCAAGTTCTCGAGTTGTATTCGGATTGTTAAACTCCGTTAAGTTTAACAAGGATTAGTGGAATCTCGTGCACGTTTGCCTTGGGGACTGGACGTAGGCATTAGGCCGAACCAGGATATATCGTTGTCTCTTTGCATTCATCATTTCCGTTATCCTTTTATTTTATTCCTGCACTTTTGTTAGGGGTAAACCGGGGGTCTTATCAAGTTGATAATTTAGTGGCGGATGTGCGGAGGAAAATGGAAGGGAAATAGTGGGCGAAAGTATGGAGGGTGTTTTAGGAGTTCTTTTTTGGTATTTTATGGAAGAAAAAGAATAGGATTAAGAAGGAGAAATGGAGGGATATGAAATGGAAGAAATATCACGGATGGATAAAACCAAGTTGGTGTTAGGAGATATTACACACTCTTATCCTAACTTGGGGTTTGAATCTAGAATTCAATTAAGATATTACACACTTAATCAAATATCTAGAACCTAAAACTCACACTTAAGATAACCACTCTTAAGATATAGAATTAGGAATTTGGCTAAAATAGCATCACACTATTTTAATAATACTCAAAGAGTAAATGGTTTTCAATATTCAAAGATGTGTTACAATGGCCATATGGCCTGAGTTATATAGGGAGAGGGGAAGGGGAAAATA